CTGCAAATCCTGTTGCCTGTGAATTTGTTTTCCAAATTGTGAAACAATCATGGAAGATGCAGGACTGAGGGAGGATATTGTCCAGGGCTTGGAAACATATATTGCACAGGGCAGTTACTGCAGCTGATTATGCAGCATGTAAGAAGTTGTTTCCATGATCCCAGGAGGAATGTGGGAAAAGAAGCTTAGGGCAAAGAGCTGGTTAATCAAAGGACAGCCTACTGGCAGTTCTTGGTTTCTCATTTCCTGCCTTCTTCAGGCCATTTGGAATGGGGAGTGGTGAAGAAGATGGAGGGCACAGATCTGACAGTTTAGATAGAAATAGTTCCATACTAAAGATAATATATGATCACGTGTTAACATATCAATAGATGTGATTTGCATTTGGATTGGGATATAAACCATAAGTGATTGTTTAGGTCCTCATTGCCAAGAATGAGCTCCAGGGCCCTTACTGTCCTCTAGAAAGGCCCTTGCCACTTGCTGTTAATGAATTATGTAAATTTCACTGTTGGGAATAGTGCAGGCCATTAATTATAGAACAAAGAGAATTCTTATGCAAATATATAACATGCTATGGTAATAATAATAATATGTTATACTTATTATTGATTTCTTTATTGAAAATAACAGCATAGAGTTAACAATGATTTTTAAAACTATAATTTCTAATTGTACAAATTGTACAGTTAGCCTTTTCTTCTGACAAAATTTATCTTGATATTTCCTATTACCAGAGCTAATGGATCAATATTTATATTAAGAAACATGGAACTGGTGATGATTTTGGCTATCATGTTTTCCATATTGTGAGCATAAAACCCAAACCAAACACACTGCCACTGAGTCAATGCTGACTCACAGGGACCTTGTAGGGCATGGTACACTTCCCCTATGAGTTTCTGAGCCTGCCACACTTTACAGGAGTAGAAAGCTCCATCTTTCTCCGGAGGAGTAGCTGGTGGTTTTAAACTGCTGACCTTGTAATTAGCACCCAGGGCTGCTCTGTTGTTATGTCTAATATTCAATAAGTTGAGGAATGAAACACATTAAAACATAAATTATATTCCACAATATCATACAATATATGATATAGCTGTTAGAAATCATAGCTTAGAAAAATATCCAATCAAATAAGAAAATACCTATAATGTTTGAAAGAAAGAGGAAGATCAACTGTAAATTAGCATAATCCTAACTAAACATGTGCCTAATATGCTGGAGTGTCACATCATGTGAGTGCAGTGACTACATATTTGGTGATACTAGCAATGGTAATAATGGTATGACTGATTGTTACTTTAATATGCCACATGTATTTTGATATATATATATTCCTTAAAAAACATCTTTACCTTTTGGAAACAGAGAGAACAATGTATGTTATGGATTAAATAACTCTAAGAAAACCTAACAACACAGTTGCAGATCACTCTGCCAATCATTCATCAGTTTTTCTCTCAGATTCATTTCCCTACATTATTCCCAGGCTCCCTTGCAAACTGGCTTCTGGCTAAATCCAGC